GATCATTGAAGTGCGAACTAGCATAAATAACGGTAGTAGGTCTAAGAGACCCAACAAGCGAGAAGGAATATTCAATCAATTCAATTTCAACAATAAGAGGATCGACTGGGAAAAAATAAATGTAGACCTTGCAACCATTCAATGAGAGATGGTCTTAAGCGACAAAACTCCCAGCCTGTACACCACCACCACCCAGCCTGTACACCACCACCACCCAGCCTGTACACCACCACCACCCAGCCTGTACACCACCACCACCACCCAGCCTGTACACCACCACCACCACCCAGCCTGTACACCACCACCACCACCCAGCCTGTACACCACCACCACCACCCAGCCTGTACACCACCACCACCACCACCCAGCCTGTACCACCACCACCACCACCCAGCCTGTACACCACCACCACCACCACCCAGCCTGTACACCACCACCACCACCACCCAGCCTGTACACCACCACCACCACCACCCAGCCTGTACACCACCACCACCACCACCCAGCCTGTACACCACCACCACCACCACCCAGCCTGTACACCACCACCACCACCACCCAGCCTGTACACCACCACCACCACCACCCAGCCTGTACACCACCACCACCACCACCCAGCCTGTACACCACCACCACCCAGCCTGTACACCACCACCACCACCCAGCCTGTACACCACCACCACCACCCAGCCTGTACACCACCACCCAGCCTGTACACCACCACCCAGCCTGTACACCACCACCCAGCCTGTACACCACCACCCAGCCTGTACACCACCACCCAGCCTGTACACCACCACCCAGCCTGTACACCACCACCATCCAGCCTGTACACCACCATCCAGCTTTACACCACCATCCAGCCTGTACACCACCATCCAGCCTGTACACCAACCCCCTGCCTGTACACCACCCCCCTGCCTGTACACCATCCCCACCACCCAGCCTGTACACCACCATCCAGCCTGTACACCACCACCCAGCCTGTACACCAACCCCAAGCCTGTACACCATCCCCCTGCCTGTACACCATCCCTCAGCCTGTACACCACCCCCCAACCTGTACACCACCACCCAACCTGTACACCATCCCCCATCCTGTACACCACCACCCAGCCTGTACACCATCCCTCAGCCTGTACACCACCACCCAACCTGTACACCACCACCCAGCCTGTACACCACCCAGCCTGTACACCACCACCCAACCTGTACACCATCCCTCAGCCTGTACACCACCACCCAACCTGTACACCACCACCCAGCCTGTACACCATCCAGCATGTACACCACCATCCAGCCTGTACACCACCCCACTGCCTGTACACCACCATCCAGCTTTACACCACCATCCAGCCTGTACACCACCATCCAGCCTGTACACCACCCCCCTGCCTGTACACCACCCCCCTGCCTGTACACCATCCCCACCACCCAGCCTGTACACCACCATCCAGCCTGTACACCACCACCCAGCCTGTACACCAACCCCAAGCCTGTACACCATCCCCCTGCCTGTACACCATCCCTCAGCCTGTACACCACCCCCCAACCTGTACACCACCACCCAACCTGTACACCATCCCCCATCCTGTACACCACCACCCAGCCTGTACACCATCCCTCAGCCTGTACACCACCACCCAACCTGTACACCACCATCCAGCCTGTACACCACCACCCAGCCTGTACACCACCACCCAACCTGTACACCATCCCTCAGCCTGTACACCACCACCCAACCTGTACACCACCACCCAGCCTGTACACCATCCAGCCTGTACACCACCATCCAGCCTGTACACCACCCCACTGCCTGTACACCACTATCCAGCCTGTACACCACCATCCAGCCTGTACACGACCCCACTGCCTGTACACCACTATCCAGCCTGTACACGACCCTACTGCCTGTACACCACTATCCAGCCTGTACACCACTATCCAGCCTGTACACCACCATCCAGCCTGTACACGACCCCACTGCCTGTACACCACCATCCAGCCTGTACACCACCCCCCAGCCTGTACACCACCCCCCAGCCTGTACACCACCCCCCTGCCTGTACACCATCCCCACCACCCAGCCTGTACACCACCACCCAGCCTGTGCACCACCACCCAGCCTGTACACCACCACCCAGCCTGTACACCACCACCCAGCCTGTACACCACCATCCAGCCTGTACAACACCATCCAGCCTGTACACCAACCCCCAGCCTGTACACCAACCCCCAGCCTTTACACCATCCCCCAGCCTGTACACCACCCCCCAGCCTGTACACCACCACCCAGCCTGTACACCACCACCCAGCCTGTACACCACCCCCCAGCTTGTACACCACCCCCCAGCTTGTACACCACCCCCCAGCCTGTACACCACCCCCCAGCCTGTACACCACCCCCCAGCCTGTACACCACCCCCCAGCCTGTACACCACCCCCCAGCCTGTACACCACCCCCCAGCCTGTACACCACCCCCCAGCCTGTACACCACCCCCCAGCCTGTACACCACCCCCCAGCCTGTACACCACCCCCCAGCCTGTACCACCACCCCCCAGCCTGTACACCACCCCCCAGCCTGTACACCACCCCCCAGCCTGTACACCACCCCCAGCCTGTACACCACCCCTCAGCCTGTACACCCCCCAGCCTGTACACCATCCCCCAGCCTGTACATCACCACCCAGCCTGTACACCACCCCCCCAGCCTGTACACCACCCCCCAGCCTGTACACCTCCCCCTCAGCCTGTATACCCCCATCAGCCTGTACACCACCCCCCAGCCTGTACACCACCCCCCAGCCTGTACACCACCCAGCCTGTACACCACCACCCAGCCTATACACCACCCAGCCTGTACACCACCCAGCCTATACATCCAGCTTGTACACCATCACCACCCCCCAGCCTGTACACCACCCCCCAGCCTGTACACCACCCCCCAGCCTGTACACCACCCCCCAGCCTGTCCACCACCCCCCAGCCTGTACACCACCCAGCCTGTACACCCAACCTGTACACCACCCCCCAGCCTGTACACTATCCCCCAGCCTGTACACTACCCCCCAGCCTGTACACCACCCCCCAGCCTGTACACCACCCCCCAGCCTGTACACCACCCCCCAGCCTGTACACCACCCCCCAGCCTGTACACCACCCCCCAGCCTGTACATCCAGTTTGTACACCATCACCACCACCCAGCCTGTACACCACCCCCCAGCCTGTACACCACCCCCCAGCCTGTACACCATCCCCCAGCCTGTACACCATCTCCCAGCCTGTACACCACCCAGCCTGTACACCATCCCCCAGCCTGTACACCATCCCCCAGCCTGTACACCATCCCCCAGCCTGTACACCACACAGCCTGACCCCCCAGCCTGTACACCATCCCCCAGCCTGTACACCACCCAGCCTGATCCCCAAGCCTGTACACCAACCCCCAGCCTGTACACCACCCTCCAGCCTGTACACCACCCCCCAGCCTGTTCACCATCCCCCAGCCTGTACACCACCCCCCAGCCTGACCCCCCAGCCTGTACACCATCCCCCAGCCTGTACACCACCCCCCAGCCTGACCCCCCAGCCTGTACACCATCCCCCAGCCTGTACACCATCCCTAGCCTGTACACCACCCCCCAGCCTGACCACCCAGCCTGTACACCACCCCCTGTACACCACCATAGACGAGATAAAACACCTAAATTATTGGGATCGTCTCAAAGCTCTCCAAATGTACTCTCTAGAAAGGAGACGAGAGAGATACCAAATAATATACACCTGGAAAATACTGGAGGGTCAGGTCCCAAATCTACACAGTAAAATAACAACGTACTGGAGTGAACGATATGGAAGAAAATGCAAGATTGAACCTGTGAAGAGCAGAGGTGTCATAGGCACAATCAGAGAGCACTGTATAAACATCAGGGGTCCGCGGTTGTTCAACGTCCTCCCAGCGAGCATAAGAAATATTGCCGGAACAACCGTGGACATCTTCAAGAGAAAACTGGACGGTTTTCTAAGAGAAGTTCCGGATCAACCGGGCTGTGGTGGGTACGTGGCCCTGCGGGCCGCTCCAAGCAACAGCCTGGTGGACCAAACTCTCACAAGTCGAGCCTGGCCTCGGGCCGGGCTTGGGGAGTAGAACAACTCCCAGAACCCCATCAACCAGGTATCAACCAGGTATCCCCCAGCCTGACCACCCAGCCTGTACACAACCACCCAGCCTGTACACCACCCCCAGCCTGACCACCCAGCCTGTACACCACCACCCAGCCTGTACACCACCCCCAAGCCTGACCACCCAGCCTGTACACCACTCCCCAGCCTGACCACCCAGCCTGTACACAACCACCCAGCCTGTACACCACTCCCCAGCCTGACCACCCAGCCTGTACACAACCACCCAGCCTGTACACCACCCCCAGCCTGACCACCCAGCCTGTACACCACCACGCAGCCTGTACACCACCCCCCAGCCTGACCACCCAGCCTGTACACCACCACCCAGCCTGTACACTACCACCCAGCCTGTACACCACCACCCAGCCTGTACACTACCATCCAGCCTGTACACTACCACCCAGCCTGTACACCACCACCCAGCCTGTACACCACCACCTAGCCTGTACACCACCACCCAGCCTGACCACCCAGCCTGTACACTACCACCCAGCCTGTACACCACCACCCAGCCTGTACACCACCACCCAGCCTGTACACCACCACACAGCCTGTACACCCAGCCTGTACACCACCACCCAGCCTGTACACTACCACCCAGCCTGTACACCACCACCCTGCCTGTACACCACCACCTAGCCTGTACACCACCACCCAGCCTGTACACTACCACCCAGCCTGTACACCACCACCCAGCCTTTACACCACCACCCAGCCTGTACACCCAGCCTGTACACCACCCAGCCTGTTCACCATCACCACACTCACCATCACCGTTACCGTCACTATTTAACCGCAGGTTTCTCCTACAGCACCAGCAGCAGGTCGCAGCAGCCATAGAGCGGGCGAAGCAGGTCACCATGACGGAGCTGAACTCTATCATCGGGGTAAGTTGCTCCCCACCACCTCCCCAGGGTGTGTGAGGTAAGGTAGGGTGTGTGAGGTAAGGTAGGGTGTGTGAGGTAAGGTAGGGTGTGTGAGGTAAGGTAGGGTGTGTGAGGTTGGGTAGGGTGTGTGAGGTAAGGTAGGGTGTGTGAGGTAAGGTAGGGTGTGTGAGGTAGGGTAGGGTGTGTGAGGTAAGGTAGGGTGTGTGAGGTAAGGTAGGGTGTGTGAGGTAAGGTAGGGTGTGTGAGGTAAGGTAGGGTGTGTGAGGTAGGGTAGGGTGTGTGAGGTAGGGTAGGGTGTGTGTGGGGTAAGGTAGGGTGTGTGAGGTAAGGTAAGGTAGGGTGTATGAGGTAAGGTAGGGTGTATGAGGTAAGGTGGGGTGTGTGAGGTAAGGTGGGTTTGTGAGGTAAGGTAAGGTGTGTGAGGTAAGGTAGGGTGTGTGAGGCAAGGTAGGGTGTGTGAGGTAAGGTAGGGTGTGTGAGGTAAGGTAGGGTGTATGAGGTAAGGTAGGGTGTGTGAGGTAAGTTGGGGTGTGTGAGGTAAGGTGGGGTGTATGAGGGAAGGTAGGGTGTGTGAGGTAAGGTAGGGTGTGTGAGGCAAGGTAGGGTGTGTGAGGTAAGGTAGGGTGTGTGAGGTAAGGTAGGGTGTATGTGATAAGGTAAGGTAGGTGTGTGAGGTAAGGTAGGGTGTGTGAGGTAAGGTAGGGTGTATGAGTTAAGGTAAGGTAGGGTGTGTGAGGGAAGGTAGGGTGTGAGAGGCAAGGTAGGGTGTGAGAGGTAAGGTAGGGTGTATGTGATAAGGTAAGGTAGGGTGTGTGAGGTAAGGTAGGGTGTATGAGTTAAGGTAGAGTGTATGAGGTAAGGTAGGGTGTATGAGGTAAGGTAGGGTGTATGAGGTAAGGTAGGGTGTGTGAGGCAAGGTAGGGTGTGTGAGGCAAGGTAGGGTGTGTGAGGCAAGGTAGGGTGTGTGAGGCAAGGTAGGGTGTGTGAGGCAAGGTAGGGTGTGCGAGGCAAGGTAGGGTGTGCGAGGCAAGGTAGGGTGTGCGAGGCAAGGTAGGGTGTGCGAGGCAAGGTAGGGTGTGCGAGGCAAGGTAGGGTGTGCGAGGCAAGGTAGGGTGTGCGAGGCAAGGTAGGGTGTGTGAGGCAAGGTAGGGTGTGTGAGGCAAGGTAGGGTGTGTGAGGCAAGGTAGGGTGTGTGAGGCAAGGTAGGGTGAGTGAGGCAAGGTAGGGTGAGTGAGGCAAGGTAGGTTGAGTGAGGCAAGGTAGGGTGTGTGAGGTAAGGTAGGGTGTGTGATGTAAGGTAGGGTGTATGAAATAGGGTAGGGTGTATGTGGTAAGGTAGGGTGTATGTGTAAGGTAGGGTGTATAAGTTAGGGTGCATGAAATAGGGTAGGGTTTATGAGGTAAGGTAGGGTGTATGAGGTAAAGTAGGGTGTGTGAGGTAAGGTAGGGTGTGTGAGGTAAGGTGGGGTGTATGAGGTAAGGTAGGGTGTATGTGGTAAGGTAGGGTGTGTGAGCTAAGGTAGGGTGTGTGAGGTAAGGTAGGATATCAGGTAAGGTAGGGTATCATCATAGGGTAGGGTTATCATCCTTTGCAGATGACACAAAAATCAGTATGAAAATTATCTCTGCTGAAGACATTGAAAAACTTCAAGCTGATATTAATAAAGTTTTCGACTGGGCATCAGAAAATAACATGATGTTTAACAGTGATAAAATCCAGGTATTCGGGTACGGTAAAAATGAGGACCTTAAACATAATACAGAGTACAAAACACAATCAAATGTACCCATAGTAGGAAAACAGCATGTAAAGGATTTGGGAATACTGATGTCTGGCGACCTAACATTTAGGGAGCATAACCAAGCAAATCTTGCATCAGCCAGAAAAATGATTGGATGGATTACCAGAACTTTCAAATCCAGGGATCCCATCACAATGGTTGTACTCTTCAAGTAACTTGTGTTGTCCCGTCTCGAGTACTGCTCAGTACTCACTTCCCCCTTCAGAGCAGGAGAGATTGCTGAAATAGAGGGAATACAGAGAACATATAAGGCACGCATAGACGAGATAAAACACCTAAATTATTGGGATCGTCTCAAAGCTCTCCAAATGTACTCACTAGAAAGGAGACGAGAGAGATACCAAATAATATACACACGGACAATACTGGAGGGCCAGGTCCCAAATCTACACAGTAAAATAACAACGTACTGGAGTGAACGATATGGAAGAAAATGCAGAATAGAACCAGTGAAGAGCAGAGGTGCCATAGGCACAATCAGAGAACACTGTGTAAACATCAGAGGTCCGCGGTTGTTCAACACCCTCCCAGCGACTATAAGAAATATTGCCGGAACAACCTTGGACATCTTCAAGAGGAAACTAGATAGTTTCCTACAAGGAGTGCCGGACCAACCGGGCTGTGGTGGGGTATGTGGGCCTGCGGGCCGCTCCAAGCAACAGCCTGGTGGACCAAACTCTCACAAGTCAAGCCTGGCCTCGGGCCGGGCTTGGGGAGTAGAACAACTGCCAGAACCCCATCAACCAGGTATCAACCAGGGTGTATGTGGTAAAGGAGGGTGTGTGAGGTAACGTAGGGTGTATGATATAGGGTAGGGTGTGTGAGGTAAGGTAGGGTGTATGTGGTAAGGTAGGGTGTGTGAGGTAAGGTAGTGTGTGGTAGGTAGTCGTTGAGATGGTGGAGTATGAAATTCAAGTAAAGTCTAGTAGTTAGGAAGGATGTTGTTGGGTAAGATGAATGGCTTCTTACAAGCAAGTGGCCGAGTGATTGTGGAGAAATATTTACATGGTCAGGGTTTAAGTTTAGTATAAATTTTTATAACGTATGCTAAATGGTGGTGTGTGTATATATATTACGTAAATATTATATATATATATATATATATATATATATATATATATATATATATATATATATATATATAATGTAATTACACATGTTTGTGTGTGATCATATCTCTCACACAAACCACACACACATATATACATACACACACAAACATAAACACACACATACGTACTTCGCACACACACCCCCCACGTGTCAAGAGTAGTTAATTATCTTAGTAAATTAGTTAATAAATGGAATGCATTAGGAAGTGATGTGGTGGAGGCTGACTCCATACACAGTTTCAAGTGTAGATATGACAGAGCCCAGTAGGCTCAGGAACCTGTACACCTGTTGATTGACAGTTGAGAGGCGGGACCAAAGAGCCAGAGCTCAACCCCCGCAAGCACAACTAGGCGAATACCCCCCCCACACCGTCACACCCCCCCACACTATCACACCCCCCACACTATCACACCCCCCCACACCGTCACACCCCCCACACCGTCACACCCCCTACACCGTCACACACCCCCCACACCGTCACACCCCCCCACACCGTCACACCCCCCACACCGTCACACACCCCCCACACCGTCACACCCCCCACACCGTCACACCCCCCACACCGTCACACCCCCCCACACCGTCACACCCCCCCACACCGTCACACCCCCCCACACCGTCACACCCCCCCACACCGTCACACAACCCCCCACACCGTCACACCCCCACACCGTCACAACCCCCCACACCGTGACACCCCCCCCCCCACACCGTGACACCCCCCCCCCACCGTCACACCCCCCCACCACCGTCACCCCCCCCACACCCGTCACACCCCCCCCGTCCCACACCGTCCACACACCCCCCACAACCGTCACACCCCCCACACCGTCACACCCCCCCACACCGTCACCAACACCCCCCACACCGTCACACCACCCCCCCACACCGTCACCCCCCCCCCACACCGTCACACCCCCCCCACACCGTCACACCCCCCCACACCGTCACACCCCCCCACACCGTTCACACCCCCCCACACCGTCACACCCCCCACACCGTCACACCCCCCACACCGTCACACCCCCCACACCGTCACACACCCCCACACACCGTCACACCCCCCACCCCCCACACCGTCACACCGTCACCCCCTCCCACACCGTCACCCCCTCCCACACCGTCACCCCCCACACCGTCACCCCCACACCGTCACACACCCCTCCCATACCGTCACCCCCTCCCACACCGTCACCCCCTCCCACACCGTCACCCCTTCCCATACCGTCACTCCCTTCCACACCGTCACACACCCCCACACCGTCACACACCCCCTCCCATACCGTCACCCCCCTGCCCACACCGTCACCCCCTCCCATACCGTCACCCCCTCCCACACCGTCACACCCACACCGTCACACCTCCCTTCACCGTCACAACCCCCCTTCACCGTCACACCCCCCTTCACCGTCACACACCCCCCTTCACCGTCACACACCCCCTTCACCGTCACACCCCCTTCACCGTCACACCCCCTTCACCGTCACACCCCCCTTCACCGTCACACACCCCCCTTCACCGTCACACACCCCCTTCACCGTCACACCCCCCCTTTACCGTCACATCCCCCCTTCACCGTCACACACCCCCTTCACCGTCACACACCCCCCTTCACCGTCACACACCCGCCTTCACCGTCACACACCCCCCTTCACCGTCACACACCCCCTTCACCGTCACACACCCGCTTCACCGTCACACACCACTTCACCGTCACACCCCCCTACACCGTCACACACAACCCTACACCGTCACCGTCCCCCCCCCCCACCGTCACACCCCCCATACCGTCACACCCCCCCCCACACCGTCACACCTCCCATACCGTCACACCTTTCACACACCCCCACACCGTCACCCCCCACACCGTCACACCCCCCCCCACACCGTCACCCCCCCCACACCGTCACCCCCCCCCACACCGTCACACACACCCCCCCACACCGTCACACACCCCCACACCGTCACACCTCCCCCCACACCGTCACACCTCCCCCCACACCGTCACAC